CACTTACGAAAGCAAATGTTCAGATTATTTGGTAAACGGTTTGAATAGTTACGCTAAGTTGTCGTTATAAGTCGATCATAAAATTCTGATCCTTAAGTGTAATAACCACTTCATTGTTGACTTTCAAAAAAAAATTTTTTATCAAAAAATGGCAATGATCAGTTTTGAAGTATATTAATATTTTAAGCTAAAAAACAAATAAAAAAATCTGTGATGCAAAATATGACATCTAAATAAAAAGTTTTGAGTTTAATTTGTTTGAAATAACTTTCAAAATCTCAATATTGTGATAATATACACAGCCATAAACATCTATGCACTACATTTTTGTTGATAACTTCTAAGCTTTTTTTTTTTTTTTAAACCAATAATTACTTTTTTTCAAATGTCAAAAATTCGTTTGACACTCTGCTTTTTTTTCATTAAGCAAAACAAAATTTTTTTTTTTATTTTATTAAACTGAGTTTTTGTTGACACAGGTGAGCATTAATTCAAGTTGATAGGTGTCAAATGCAACAGTAGAAAAAAATTTCTCGTTGTTATTGGACAACTATGTTAGACATTTGACGCTATTCTTTGATCACTGATAATGTAATATCTGTTACAGAATCATTTCCGATACTGTAAATTATAACTTTATTAATAGAACTGATAACAGCTGCGATTGTCAACCAATCAGCCAAATTACCAAATGCAATGTACAAAAAGGTTTTCTGAGTAACTAAGAAAAAAAAAGAGTCTGCTTTATTTATTTATTTATTTATTTTTTTTTTGCAGTAAATCCTGGTCTAACATCTCGAACGGTAAAAGGTTTTGTTGGTGAAGCAGATCCAACAAATATTACCGGAATAATGCGAAATGCTGTCCGGCAAACTTATCTGATGTGGACAGATGCTAGGATACCGTATACTATATCGTCACAATATTCATCTTACAGGCAAATTTTGTACTATTGAACTAACTAACAGTTATTGGTTGTCATCACAGAAACTTTGTTCACACTTATTAATTTCTTAGTTTGATTCTAAATTTTGCTTTATAATGATAAAATAAAACACTGCATTCTTTTCTCGCTATTTTGTTTTCACAGTTACACACCATTTTTCCACTTACAAAAGCATATAGCTCCGTATATCACTAATTTTTGTTCTTTGTTCAGCAACAACAATTAAGCATCAGAATTTGATATCACTACTCAAGACAATTATATTGTAATCTAAAAATGAATTCGTTTTTAAACCTTTAGCCGTTCTAAAATTGCTGAAGCTATTGAAGAATATCGGCGTTTAACATGCATTGATTTCGCACCAAAAAGTGCTGCTGATCAAGACTATATACATATTGTGCCAGACGATGGCTGCTATTCACTTGTTGGTCGGGTTGGTAAGTTTATTAGCTTGATTCTTTCACTTTTTTTTTTTTTT